TTTAAAGGGCGGAATTTTATTGTGGCATTTCTAGTACCTGGAGATAGCTCTTCACATGGAGTTATCGTCCAGGGAAAGGCGAATGCAGATAGTTAGTACAGTCGAGTTGTGTCTGAGCAAAAATAAGAGATCTGACAGTATTTTTTAGAAGATTTAATTTTTTCTTATCAGCAAGATGCCTTGCTCTTTGAAATGGCCACCTTGCTGCGTTCCTTTGCTTAATAAATTTTTTTAACTGTACAGCACCTTCAAGAAACATTTAGTTGTAAATATTAAGATTGATGGCCCCTTTAATTGCGCATTTATGGATATTTGTAAATCCCACCTTGTTTTTCTGGCATCATCTCGTGGAAATTCTAATATTTTTAACTTTCCCTTTTTTCTAATATTTTTAACTGGCAATATCGAATTTTTCAAAATTTAAATGTTTACATTTAAATGTTTCTTGAAGGTGCGATGATAGGTAGATTGTTTTACTGTAACAAATCAAACAATGCAGATTTTTAGATTATGACAATTTTCGTCGCTTTGAACGGAACCTCACTATTTTAAGTGTCAATCTCTGGATCTGGGGATAACAGAAACTGGCGCGGGTAACAGAAAATTAAGGCAAAATCAAAATATTAAATTACGAGATTTACAAGTTAAACTGCACCTACAATCTCTCGCTCCAGCCCCCAAATTATGCGAATAATTATGGCTACGACTGCTGAAGCCGATTCAAGTAATTCGGAAAGTGAAAGAAATAAAAGGTTTTTAAATAAGAAAGATATGATTTTAAAGTGAAATAAAATAAAAATTATTTTGCATACAACCAAACTCGCTATATTATTTTGAAGTACAATTCATGATATTGAGTTTTGAACAAAACATTATATAACATTATTATTACGACTATTACTTCGGCTTTCCTTGGCAATTCAGCATAGAGAGAGATGGCGATACTGGTGCGCCGAACAACAAAGCTGCATACAGGAGTGGCACAACATCCTCTTTTCAAACCAGTCCCGGTTTTTTCGTGCAGTATTCTGATGGCCGTATACGTATCTGGAGGCTCCGAGGAAATCGCACCTCGCCTGCTTGCATTCGATATCGGCATAGGCGCCCTGTACCTGGTGTAATAGTTTCGACAACTATTGGGTGCACGACACGCACATCTCTAGCTCGGTTCGACGGTAATTTGAACGCAGATCGGTACATTTCTGACATCTAGTGATTGCACCCTATCTTCGAGGCCTTCCAACAAGAAAATGCAAGACTACATGTTGCACGGCATGTTCTGACCTTCCTCGATAAATAGGGTATTTGATTGCTGCCCTGGCCTGCACGGTCTTTAGATCTGTCACCCATCGAAAATATCTGGTCATGGATTCCCGAGAGACTAGCCCGCCGTCCCTCTGCAGCTAATATGATTGATGAAGTGTGGAATAGACTTGAAGCATCATGGAATGAGTTGCCCGTTTCTGTTCAAGACCACTTCGACTTCATGCCTAACCAGGTAAGGCCGTTTAGATGCCAAGGATGGCAGGTGTTTCTACTAATTTCGCATCCCTGTAAGCTCCAAACCACTTATAAATTTAATAATTTTATCTTCATGCTATAGTGTTTACGTATAATAAATATCTTTTTTTATTTGCTTTCCTTCATGGTGTTGCAATTTTAATGGCCAGCAGTGTATAAGAATCAAAATGACATTGTATTTAATTGGACCGATCCTCCGGTTTGCCGTTTCGGCTTGGGCGATAGCCAACAAAACTGAAAGAGCAAAAATAGATGTTTTTCAAAATAAAACTCTCCATGTTATAGTGAATGTGCTATGGTACGTGAGAAATTCACAAATTTATAGTGATCTTCAAATTAAAGCAATACATGAGCAAATCTTAATCACCGCAGCACAACGTTTTTGAAAATATCCGAAACTCGCCTTACAGTGCAATTCAGGAACTCATGAATTATGACCCAACCGTAGAAAACATAGTCAAACATCCTAGAACGATTTATTACAATACTTGCTGATGAATGTTCATAATAAATAGTCAAGTTCTTGTGTTTTATTTTTTACCTGACAAAACAGATATTGGACTTTGATTCGCTGGCAAAGCAGGGTATCGACTTTGCATATTTTTATATTTTTACTCTACTTTTATCTTACTACATATCATTTAATTATCTACTGTGTTTTTGAAAGACTTTGTGTTTTTTCCCAAAGAAACTAGCGAAGTATTGTTAATTAGCATAATTACAAGAACAAATTCAATTAAGGCTTACGTTCTTCAAGAAAAATCGTATATTCTTCGTATATTAACTCAACTGACTAGAAAAATTGATTTCCGAAGAAGAATACGTATTATTAATTTTTCTTTACTTCGTGCTCTTCACCGAAGCTAGTACTTGTAAATATTAAATTGAAATTTTCGCAAACTGACAGATGAAAATGCCTCTTCGTTCACTCGCCGATATTCACATGACCTCGAAGTACTCTCTAAACTAACTAAAAATACATGATACTAGAAAAGAATTTATATACTGTTCATTAAGATTGAAAAATTTATACCGAAAATTAGAGCAATGAATATGACCTAGAAAAAAGACGTAGGGACATTGCTATGCCATAGAGAGACATTGCTACGCACGAGCTCTGAAATTGAAATTCCATGATTTTGTCACCTTCTGTTTCATGTCTCCGGACGATAGACGTGAAACAGAACATGACAAAGCTTTTCCTAATTAACACAAACGCCTAAGCAAATTAAAATCAATTAGTAAAAGCTCCTTGCAGCTAAGACCGAATTGGAAAATGAAGATCCAAGATCTATTCTCATATGTTTAGTTAGCTGCTGTTATTGTTGCGAGTTTAGCTTGTGATCGGATTTACTTCTCGTTAGATACGCTTTGCATTGCCTTGTGTTTAACATTCTTAGTAGTTTGCAGTGTACCTACTGATTATACTGTGTGATTCTGTGAAGACTTGTACGAATACTTCTCTGTAAAAAATTCCAGAGTTCTGAAATATTTCTTTTGATAAAAATAAATTTTTATTAACCTGTTATCGGACTTGTGCATTCAGTGTATTATGAACGCAACAATGTAGATTACGTCGAGCAGGGAGAGAAGAGATATCTTTATCTGAGGATCAGGAGCTATAAAAGCTTGAAAAGAAAGTGCACGACATTTCTGCCACCAATTTCTTGTCAGATATGTATGATTACAGAACACTTGAAGTGCAAGTATATTTGAAAAGAAGAGACGCACCTATCAAAAGAAAGATTTAAGTAGCAGTCATACCACATAAATTTCTCCCAATACACAGTTTTTTAAAAACTTTTTATGCTACATAAATTCTTCTCTGGCTTTCAAATGTAGCTTGTGGGATGACATTACTAAGAATTCTTCATAACAGTTTGCAGAATGAGCATGTATTTTTAATGGACAGCAAAATTTAATATTAAAAGTAGTTTTTACTTATTCATTTCATTTTTTGATAACTTTAGATGAAAGCAGTAGATGTTCTGCATAAAAAGAAAGATCAAAATACTTGAAACATCTTTATTTGAATACAGCGTAGAGCACAATGGCTAAGGAAAGGAATGATTTTTTACAGAACAATCATATCATTCTAACCCTTGTGAAAATTAGTATTTTCAGCACTTTAAACCAAGACTAATGCTATACTAACCTTACTTTTTACCAACACCTTGTATTTTAGCTTTTAGCCACGTGATGGGTATATTTAATAAACGAGGATTTGTCAAAATTCGAATTTCAATCAAATCAATTTTCCTTGAAAAGGAAATTCCATTTGCATTTATATTTGGAAAACACATATTCCTATATATATTATCTGCATTATTAAATGAACTTACATTTCTTGCATTACATTTTTATATTTCATAAACGTATATGATGAATTGGAAATTTGAATTTTATAAACCATCGCTTATTTAGTGTATCCGCCATCAGCAATGTTTATTTGAATACTTTTGTGGTAAATTAACTGTAAATTAATTTGTTGGAAATTGTAATGAAATCAGAAAAACTTAAACGTTCTTTTTTCCCTCGAAAGTTTTGTTGTATATTGTATTTTAAGTAGTTCTCCAAAAACCATTTTTCATGAGTAAAATTTCCTTGAAATAAATTAATGTTAAAAGAATTAATAACAGTGATAAAAACGCTTACTGCGAACAAAGATTTAAACTGTTATAAATCCGTCATTTTTAATTGTTACCAATACTAGAATTTAACACTTGAATAATTTTATGATAAATCAATTGCACATAAATTTGTTCCAAAATATGTTAGAAGAAAATAAGTGAGTTTTTTAATTTTAAACATCTATAGTAAATTATGTTATACGTTATTTCATTAAATTTTTTCCCACGTGTAAATTTTCTTCCAGAGTTAAATAAGATTATATGCAACATTATCCCATTCAACACACGTTATGATCAGGATCTGAACTACGGACTTCGCGAGTATAGTTTTATTTAAATTTATAGTTATTTAAAAATTTAGTCTTTATTTTTTGCATATACCTTTGAGAGACTAGAGCGCTCCCTTCACCTTTGAGAGCATTTACACAGTTATGGAGAGTTTTTACAAAATCGATGACGTAAAAGTCGACACGCTGACGAGAACTATCCGGTATAAGAAAATTCCTGTTTAATCATAAAGCGCTTGGAATTTGAGCATTCACCCAATTGATATATTCCTGAAATGTTTATGCTTCGTTGCAGAACATCATTGGTTCAACAGCTTAAAACTGATAATTGTTATAAGAACAAAGCTTAGCGATTCACAGTACTTTTTTCGTATGGTTTGAAAGAAAATGAAGTTATTGAATAGAAATTTATGAAATTGATTTTAGTAAAATGTAATCAGAGAGAATATGACAGCCGAACCGAAATTAATGTATAGAAAAATGAATTATTCCATTTTGAACGGATATATATCATTCACAAATTAGAAAAAATTTATTCGGCAAAGAAACGTTAATTGCTTACCAATGCCAAGGCCTCCTGTTGTTTTTTGCCAGGTATATTCATCAATTCCATACTCAAAGCCCCTTGTACTGCAAATAAAAAGATGACCCATGTAAAATATAATTTTTGCGGTTTCAATAGCGGGATCCTCAAACGATAAAATTTACTTTTGATTTATTTACGCAGAAAAAAAAGTATCTTTAAATAAATTATGTAACTATGAAATAATGCAGGAAAGAAAAGATTTTCTATTAGTAGTTAGTTTAACTTAATTTTAAAATTATTTGTAATCTCTTGAAAAATTAACCTAGCACACAAAATTTAAGTTGTGATTGGTAATATCTGGAGCTTAATCTAATATTAACTTGCTGAAGTATAATAGCTATGGGATACTAAAAGTTTTCAGGTAAACACAGTGAGTGAATGAAAGTGATCACAGTGAGTGATTTCAGGTGAAATGAACTTCACATTTTACATCACAATTTACATCACTACTTGTGAGGGTAAAGTTAAAATACTGCAAAGCAAATTCATCAGTTCTTGGACATGGTTATGAACACAAAGTGTTCGCTCTTAAACTTCTTGTTTAGTATAATACATAATTTATTTCTAATACAGGCTACAAGTTTCCGATAGTTAGGGAAATGACCAACCAAGTCTTCCTTGAGATTTTACTCTGACGCAAAGCAGCAGCTATTCTCTCACTGGGAAGCTGAACTACAGACAAGCGATGCTAATACAAACTCTCACATACGGTTGCAAATTATTCCTACGTTTTAATACTAATTCGCTTGCCACTCATAATTTCTAGAATGAGAGAGAGAGCCTTATATAGGTGTAAACTAAAAATCAATTTGATTAGTGAAACTCAACACTGAAAAATGATGCATGTATTTTATGAGAATTACAGTCTATATAATGGGAAATAAAAATTCATTAAAACCGTATCGTTTGTTAATATTACTGGATTTGATTTACTGTATTAATGGAAAGAAATACATGTACAAGAGTACGCTTTGCATGTTTAGAGACATTAAGTTATTTCGAAATAGGAGACAGGAAAAATGAGCAATGCCCTTGCCGGGACTCGAACCACGGACCTCTCGAATACGCGCTGAGAGTTCTGAACACTACACCACGAAAGCATGCTAAGAAGGCAGGAGAAATACCTTATGTGGAAGCTAAAGTGCTTTGATTTTGGATGATATTTTCTGGGCAGAAAACTTCGATTTTTAAGCGATAGATTAAACTAGAGCCTCAATGAAACTAGTTGGAACTATTCGGCATTATACACTGGTGTGCAAAAATTAAGGACGCGACGGTTTTTTCAATATAACTTTGTACAAAAGCTTTCCAAATCAACACATTTAATACCGTAAGATCCCCAATACGTAAGGACATGAGTAATGTAAGCAACACTTACTAAAAGAGAAATCAGAGGGATAAAAAGAAGCTTTATTGAAAAAGTAGCATGGAGCGCAATGCAACTGAAGGACGAAACATCCCTTTGATGGGTGTCCAGCAAGAAACATCCGGTCTTTAATAGGGGATATGATCTCCCCTGACTGCTAGGCAGGTTTCACAGCGTTTGCCCATGCTGAGAATGAGGGTGTCAATGAGTTGTTGCCCATTCGTCTTGCAGCGCCAATCAAAGCTCCGGAATCGTTACTGGTGGTAAGATACGAGCTGCCAAGCATCTGCCTAGAAAATCCCATACATGCTCGATGGGATTGAGATCTGGTGATCGTGCCGGCCAATCCATACGTTCAATATCCTCACTCTCTAAGAGCTGTTTGGCAGCTACTGTGCGATGACATGGTGCATTGTTGTCCATGAAAAGGAACTGCGGTCCCATAGTGCCTCTAAACAGACGCACATATGGAAGAAGAATCTCGTCACAATAACGGGTCCCGTTGACTGAACCTGCATCGAAGATGTGAAGGTCTGTACGACTACCAAGCATGATGCCTCCCCAAACGAGAACACCACCACCTCCATACCTGTCCCCTTCAATGATGTTCGAGGGATGATTGCGGCTTCCCCGCTATGTCCAGATGAGTATGCGATGAGAATCGCTACTCAGACTGAATCTGCTCTCATCTGTAAATAGTACTCGTCCGCATTCATTGTCTTTCCAATTCCAGTGTTCCCGGCACCACAGAGAACACCTTCTCCGATGGGCAGGCATTAGAGGTACACACCGTACAGGGCGTCGTGCAAACAGACCACCACCGTGCAGTCTTCTGGCCATGGTAAAACGCGATATCGGTCGTCCAGTCACCTGTGTTGTGTGTCTAGCGATTTCTCCCGCTGTCTCCTGCTTGTTTCTTCTGGCCTGTAAGGCAATATACTGGTCATCTGCGGGTGTGGCTCCTCGTGGACGACCACTACTAAACCCCCGGATAGCTGTTCCTGTAGTTTGAAATTGTCTCCAAAGTCGTGAAACGATGCTGTGAGCAATTCCGAACTCTGCAGCCACACTTGTCACACTGCGGCTTCCTCCAACTTCCCAATGATTCGACCTCGGGTAAAAGCATCCAGATGTCGTCTAACAGATTGATTATTCGCCATTTCTCGCTGAGGCAGCAACTCGGTGTGATTTTAACTGCTATACGGCTTGCAATCTCTTTGCCAGAAATACTGATCTTACACCGACAACATGCTTTATACTACTCAGACACTCCTCCATTATGTCTACCTGCATATCTGCGCATGTGCTACCGTACTTCACCTTACTTAATCTCCTGATTGGTCTTTCTGTCCGCTCTGCCTCTTCGTTCAGTTGATATTAACTTTTCGACTTCGTCCTTAATTTTTGCACACCACTGTAGTTTAATGAATTTACACTTTATGTAAATATTTTCAAGCCGATCACACATATGTGGCTTAAAAAGTTTCTGCTTGATGGTTTTCTGTAGTGGGGCAAGCTGCAATTTTCAAAACAATCTCATTGCATGCATTATTTTACAGCAAAATGTTTATAACAAAAGCATTGCTGCATAAATAAAAAGCATTGCTGCTGAATTTGTTTCGCATATTAGTGCAGAAATTATTATTAGATCTTAAATGTCTTTGTTACCAAACTGTCATTTGTAATATAAATATTTTATCAAAATAATGAATACACATTAATATTGCAGAAATTCATAATATTAAAGCTGCACAGAAAGCGGGTTATCACTGCAGAAGACATGAAAAATCATTTTAAACATTTCAGATCTATGTCATTATATTGTAGGGTTTATATTTATTTTAACTAACACATTTATTTTAAGTTTAAACTATCTTTCCTGTCAAGCCTTACTTTCCCCTGGAACTGCCAATGCCAGAATATGTAAATTTTAGTAGAACGCGCAAGGATTCAAATTATCAGCGGAAGTATTCTGATTTTAAATAGAAGGAAACGAGTTCGGTGTGATATTCTTACTTCACGAGCGCGGAGGTAGTTAGCGAAAAATTGAAGAACCCCGCGTTTCGGCCTATGTGCTTGGCGGGAAGTAGTGTTAATCGTCCAAGTGAGCTTCAAGTCTGCTGAATTAGCAGCGGTATTGTAAAACGCGGTGAGTTAGTTATTTTAGAGAGCCTCGTAGTTAGAGTCTTGTCTTTAGTTTCTTTTCAGGTTATTATTTTTATTTGACTGCCGAGTTGGCACAGTCTGTGAGCGTCAAGAGCACGCAATTGTAATTTTTACGTTGAATAAAAAGGGACTTAAACCCTTCACAAGACTCTGTGTTTTATACAGTTTTCACAGTCACCTCTTGGTTTGCGTGCAAGTTGGAGGCGCGCAACGTTACAATATGTCAAGCCAAGGAAGAGAATGAAACCTACAGAAGGGAATGTGCCCACAGCTTTTATTGGAAGGAAGAGAGTAGAGTGAATCCTTCAATTTTTGAGCAAGCAGTTTTGTCCGTTTTAAGTGAACTGCAAATTGACTTCAATTATATATACTCATACTCAGAAAGTTCGTCCTAACAAGTAGCATAAGAAACATTCGTGCAATAATACCTTTCCTAGAGAATTTTGACAACAGATGGCTATGATAAGATATTCAGTATATCATTTCATATTATTAATTTCTCTAGGTATATTGGCTTTTAAAAATATTGACGGGGTTAGTAGAAATATTACATACCTTCCTCCTGGACTTATCGCCAGTTCGATTTGAATGTCATAGTAACTTTCCCCTTTAATGTTTATCTGTAAGAAAGATTAGATTATATGATTGAAAGTTATGGTTGAAGTTAAAGAAGTTGTCCAGACACCAGCATAATACAAAATAGTTCCTTCTGTAACTATCTGATACCAAACTTTCAGTAAGAAAGAAGAGACACCCCAGTTTTTAGCTGTTAACCGCTTCATGTTATTATTCAAGATTCTGACTAGATTCTTAATCGTTTCATAATATTTTTCAGGTGCAGTAGCCAAGAAAGTTTGGAGTTGATTGTGAGGTCTAGATACCTGAATTGTTGAACTATTTTAATAGTTGTGTTCTGCGACTTAATTGTGGACTTTCCTTTAAGAGGGGTATAGCTCCTAATATGTTTATAAACTTTAATTAAATACATACAATTATTCTATTACTTTAAAGTACCAAATAATTTCGAATAATCTTAGTTATTATCAGATGACTTATCTCTCCGTCTGCCTTCTAATTAAATGAATGGGAACTCGATGACGGCCGGCCTAAGTTGCTGAGGGCTCTTTCTCACCTATACGTTAGAAATGAGTTATTAATGCTTTAAATGATTTGCTGTCTGTTGGGAGTTGACGATAGTAGTGAAAATAAAGTAAAAATAAAACAAAAACAATAATACAATTGACAGGGATCCGATGGCAGTAAAAAGTTGGATTTTGTAATTTTTACGTGATGGCATAAAAATGACTAAATATGAATATTTGACTTATTTAAAATATTTTTGTATTTAAAATATTTTCATAAGATGGGAATCAATAATTCTTTCTCAGTTTTACTGCAAATGGTTACTTTTGTAACTACTTTGGTAAGACATTCTAATAAATATTAGTATAATGTACTTACGTCTCTATATATATGAGAGATTAGAGAATCATTCAGAACGTTTTCTGGATATCCCATATTTATCGTTACGTCTAAAGCCTGTAGAATAAATACGTAATTGTTATGCATATATTTTTATATTTCAAGTGTTCTATAGCTAAGTCTTAAATGTATAATTTTAGCAGATACACACACACACACACACACATATATATATATATATGTATATGTATATATATATATATATATATTCGCAATATACAAAAGTAATCAAGAGAAAATTTAGAATTATCTGTCAAAGTTAATATTCTATTGGATACGTACGAGGAAGGCTTGAACTAACGATTTTGTTGTTTATATGAAATAACATAAACACTGAAAAGTAAAAAATAACAAAATGTATAACTGATTTAATTTGAAAATATAAAATGGTCTTTTCCAGTTATAATATAAGACATATGGAAATTTAATAACTGTTGAGACATTTCCTCACTTTTTAAAATTAAATTAATTTAAATTTTTAATATTTCCCTTTTCAAATATTAAATTATTAAGGTAAGAATATGACTTAAATTCTAAACTTTGCCTCTTAGAATTTTCAAAACTACCCAGTAGGAAAAGTATCCTTAAAACCCTTCTTTTATCTGAAAAATCCAATACTCCTGTTAAAATAAAATACATGGCGCAGATCGTAAAAATGAATACTTATATTTTTTGGGACTCTCTGCACTTTGATATGTTTTCCTAGACACCGTTCAAATTAATGCTTTAAACTTGATGTAAATTTGACCAATTTTTAGTTTCTTCGCCTTCGCTTTTAAAATCAAGCTGTAAATTGTTTTAAAATTATATAGCGTTTAATTTCAAAATCAAAATTGCCAACAATAGTCGTGTTTTTGTCTCAGGAAAGTGTGCGGTTTAAAATAATGGAAATCGAGAAAAATGCTAAACCTTTTCTACAACACTCTGCTTGGTTTCTTCGTCCAACCATTCATTGTTTTGTATAATGCATATATATTCTCGATGTACATATTCAGCCAAATCTTGCATCTGAAAGAAAAGGAAACTTTTTTTTATTAAGTATGTTATCATTATATTACTCAGATTAGTCTCTTTCAAACTGAAATTTTAGCTGACCCCTTACGGTCTTGATAGACTGTTGTTCGTGAATTATATGTTCGAATTGTTACTTATGTCTAAAATAATCATTATTATCTGTATATATTTCCATAGAAATTTTGCGGAATCAAGCAGTTTTCCCGAAGCTTTCAAATCCATTGAAAAATGTATCTTTACTTATTGCATGCAAAAGCAGAGAATAATAACATTTATTTCTTAAGAACATATAATTTATTTTTTCAAAATAACACTCTTTAATCTTAATTTTTTAATCAAAATACACAGAATGCATTTTTGTGTTACCTGTCTTTCTTTCGGTTTCGGAAGCATCTTATATTGTTTTTTATTGAATTTTCGTGTCAATTTCTGCATGTGTAAACGCAATTGACTAACTTCACAATTCTGAGCGTCTATGCTGATACGTGGCAAAAGCTAGTCATACAAAGTTAGAAAAAATGTGTTCAGTTTATTGCTTCTGACGGCAAGGGATGATAAAGATTTAAGTCTTGATAGATTTCTAGGACTGTCATTGTATAAGGCTAGTATATTTTATTGATACCATGTATAATACTGCAGAAATTTTCCATGACGCAAAAAGAGTATTGATCTAGATTCCCTAACAGCTTGGTGCTTGACTCCAGTATCAAGGTTGAGATGGCCCACATCATGGGGAATTTGAGTCTAAGTTTGTATGTGAAAATAATACAGAAGCAAGTAAAGAAATAGAACAATTACAGGGTGTTCATAACAGAACTTCTCTAATATGAGCTCCTAATGGTCCATTCGCTCAATCAGTCGATATTAAATTTCAGATATTGTTATTTGAAGGTACGCGCTCGAGATTGTGATGATTTAAAACAATACAGCTCTCACGGTTACGGTTACAGTGAAAACATATCGAAATCTTCGAACGGCAACCCCCCTCCCCTCCACCACTTTTTTCTGCGTAAATTGATTAGTGCGTTAAAAAAACATAATGACGCCAAGATACACGTGACGAAATTGCCGACATAAACATGTAAAAGAAGAGATATCATATCCTTCAGATGACACTGGGAGTTATGGACGGATGAGGAACATTTATCGTTAACTGGATCAAATCTAATCTGCAAGAACTGTCTTCACTGAGTTTGTAAGGATCTTAAGTTTTACTAACGTTTATTTTATTTTAAATCTTTACTATCACTTCTTATTTTCTACTTCCGGCCAGAATTAAAAGCGTTAACTTATTTATGCAAAATTTGTCTGGCGAACGCCAAGTACTTAAGTTGTGGCTTTTTGCCAAGCGAAGAGAGGAAGCAGTTAGTCGAAGCAGGCCGCTTACCTTAGAAGTTTTACTCAGTTGCTGGTTGCCTTCCAGGCCAGAGGTTTAATCCTCTTGATAATTTTAAACGTATTGTAGTGTTAACAGTTCTCTGTACTACATACGGCTTCCTGTTAATATAAGGCCAATCTTCCACGTTTATTATTCCAAAGTTAAGTTAGAGTTTAGTTAATATTTTTATATTCTTACGTTTAGACCACAAGTAGTGGGTCTTTGTATTCCGAAGTACGGAAATTATTGTAAAGAGAGAAAAAATAAAGGGTTTTGTATACCCTTCTTGTGTATCCTGTCTACTTCCCACAGTTATTGAACATAGCTTTAGTAAGCTCTCTGTTCCGAGTCAGGTCCTTGCATGTTCCCGAAGAAAGTAAGACGGAACATTGAACCTGATAGTGGCGCCCAACGAAGAAGAATAACCATGGCCGAGTTTCAAGAAGAACCTGTGCTGCCTGCAGAAGCGGCTCAGAATCCAGAAATGCCAGCTGCCGCCCTGGAAGGATTTGGTTACATCGTCCAGACCATGCGCGCTTCGATGAAACCAGAAGCAACATTTAATGGAAACTCACCGGTAACCAGTTTTTTGGAAAAATTGGATGACCACTTCATGCTCTACCCCGTGCACGAATTTCAAAAAGTTACCTTAGCTACCAGCGCTTTGAGGGGCCAAGCGCTTAATTGGTTCAAATGTATAGGCAGAAGTCTCTTGGGTCAAGCAGGAAGTCCCACCTATACTTACGAGAATTTCAAGACTGCCCTAGTAAAAGCCTTCCCTGTTCGTAAGGGATCGTGCGAAATTAGAAACGGAACTTTTCAGCATATATCAGCAAAGAATCGAAAATCTCTCAAGCTTTATTTTAAGAAAAATTCACGTCTTCAAAACTCTTGTATGGAAACCGTCCGGATCCTGAGATAATTCAAGTGATTTTGCCGAGGTTACTGCCCCAAGTGCAAGACTTTATTGAATTAAGAAATCCGACTACACTGGAAAAGTTATTTGAGCTAGCAATCCAGTTTGAAAGTAGAAGAACGGCGGACATTGAAAGAAGACGCCAATATCAACAGCGAAACCAATTTGGTGCGCCAAGACTACAGCAAACTCAAGCACACGGCTACGGAAGCAAAGCGAATCAGTGGGCAAGGAAACCCGAGCATTCAAAAACAGCCGGCGAACGTCGACAGTTCAATAGCAATCCAGGAAAAAAGTCTCAAGGCCAGTGGAAAAAGAAGGAAAGCACGGAAATGAAAAATAATTTAAACTAAAACGGATTTCTGCTGACGGGAGGGTGCGGAAATCCGAAGGCCACGAAAACCCCCCTCTCTCCTTCAAGTTAAATACAGTAATGGTGAAAAATTTGACTCTTCCGAAGATTGAAGTGTTGGTGAATAATATCCCAGCCACCGCACTCCTGGATACAGGCGCGCAGTGTTCCTGTGTGGCAGAAGATTTTTTTAGGAAGTATTTTCGTAAATATCGTATATATAATTCGGATAATACGACAGTGTTAGCTGCGCAAGGAGAAAGATGTAAGTGTATAGGTAAATTACCGCTGTATGTCCGTATCAAGGACGAACAAGTAAAGGTTATGTTTTTCATAGTAAAGAATCTGCAAGCACATATTATCTTAGGAATAGATCTTTATGTTTTTCATAGTAAAGAATCTGCAAGCACATATTATCTTAGGAATAGATTTTCTTTCAGAGGCACAAGCAACGCTAGATTTTAATGAAGCGTCCCTT